TAGTGCCCTTCTTTGTCTCCTGTTACAGTTTTTGTTTTAAAGTCTATTTTGTGTGAAATGAGTATTGCTACCCAAGCTTTCTTTTCATTGCCATTTGCATGGAGTATCTTTTTCCATCCCTTCACTTTCAGTTTGTGAGTGTCTTTAGGTCTGAAGTGTGTCTCTTGTATGCAGCATCTATATAGGTCTTGTTTTTTTGTCCCATCAGCCACCCTATGCCTTTTAATTGGAGCATTTAGTCCATTGATTAAAGTAGCTATTGATAAGTGTGTACTTACTGCCAGTTTTAAATTTTTTTTCTCAGTGTTTTAGTAGTTCTTCTCTGTTCCTTTCTTCTTCTCTTGCTCTCTTCCTTTGTGGTTTAATGGCTTTCTTTAGTATTATGTTTGGGTTTCTTTCTCGTAGTTTTTTGTGTATTTATTACAGGTTTCTGGTTTGTGATTACCATGAGGTTCATATATAGTAACCTACGTATAAAGCAATCTGTATTATGTTGATTGGTCTCTTTCGTTTGACCTCTCTCCGAAAGCTCTCCTCTTTTACTCCCCTCCTCCCACATTTTATCTTTTTGATGTGATATCTAAACTCTTTTTTGTTCATTTGTATCAGTTACACTCTTTCATGGAAAATACATAATTTTTCCTATTTGTGGAGACCTCAAGAATTTTTAAGAGTGCAAAGCGTGCTGAGGCCAAAACGTTTGAGAACCACTATACTAAACCACGAGGTTTGCTCTATTGTGGTTTATCTTATTCAAACAAAATTAAATATACTTCAACTTAAACTTTAATATATTCAAACTTACATAATTATTGTGTCACTTTGTTAGAAAAAGATTAGGTGACTAGAAATTGTTCTTACTCCTAAAATGGCCTGTAATATTTCATTTTAAAAGCATCTAGTTATGCCTCTTTTCATTTTCATTTGGGATAAAGTATCATCCTTTCATTGCTTTCCAGAAGATGTCATTTCCCTCTTTGATCTAAGAGTTAAGAATTTTTTTATTCTATTTACTTCTAATTTTAGTGGATTGTGATCAGAAAATGTGGCCTATTATACCTTTCTGTTAAAAACTTTTAAATGTTTTCATATGCTTTTTTTTTTCATTTAAGAAAATCAATTCTTTTTACAGAACAGTTGGACAAGCTGTGAAAAGCCCGGATAAACTACGTAAGGTGATTTATCGTAGAAAGAAAGTTCCTCATCCTTCTCCAAATCCTTGTTACAGAAAAAAACAGTCCCCTAAAAGTGGGGGCTGTGACATGGCAAATAAAGAAAATGAACTGGCTTGTGCAGGCCATCTGCCTGAAAAATTACGTCATGATAGTCGAACCTATTTGGTTAACTCCAGTGATTCTAGTTCTTCACAGACAGAAAGCCCATCATCAAAATATGGTGGGTTTTTTTCTGAGGTAAGTCATTGATATAAGCTTAACTTTATTCCTGTTACACTATTGGTTTTTTCCTTTGCCATATTCTGCTAGCAGAATAATTTGCCACCCATTGAGTTCAGACTTATTTGAATGATTTTAACTCCCTAATACAATTTTTCTATAGTAAGCAAATTTGAGTCAGTAGTTTATTCCATTTCTCTAAGTTAGTGATATCTAAGATGGAATGAAATGATTGACAAGCTGCTATAAATATCCAGAATGGCAAGTTGGCCAGTAGAGATTTAAAGGAAGGGAAAAGAAGAAATCTTGCCTAAAAAGTGGACCACCAAAGCTAGTTATGCAGGCACATTTTGCTGGGCTCTCAAAATTGCCTCATGGTAGCTTTGTTCAGGCAGACCGGCTAAGGTGTGCTGCTCTTCTGGCTCAGGCAAAATTAGTTTCTGAATAGGCTCAAGGGAATTTTTTTCAGTGACAGAAATATTCTGAAACTGGATTGTGATGATGGTTGCACAACTCTATAAATTTAAAATCATTGAATTATGTATTTTCAATGGGTGAGTTTTATGATATGTAAATTATACCTCAAAATAGTCATTTTTTGAACAATGGTCATTTGAAGGAATGATTTGATAAAATTTATAAACACACATGAGTTTATAATAATAATAATTATTACATGTTTATTGTATATGTTGTAGAAAATAAACCCAGAGGAAAAAATTATCGATAATGTCAATGTTTGGAAATAAAAGTATTAAGTTTTTAAGATGTCTTTTCTCTTCATACTGTACAGATTGTTTGATAACTTGATGTTTATGTTTAATATTTGCATATTTTTCCATGTGATTGAATAATGCTTCTATAGTTTTTTAATAGATACATAACATTACATTGCTTGAATGTACCTTAATTTCTTTAACTGCGATTTGATAAACTTAGTATTGTTTCTCTCTGGCATGATAGCTTAAAAAGCATTTTCTGTGGCATACAAGCAGGAAAAAAATCTTTTTAAATTAAAATGGTCATAAGTATGTATAAGTGAATGAAGATGAGCATTATATTTAGGATAAAGAAAGGTAGAAAATAAAGTGTTACTAATTAAACCATAATGAAATGATGCAAAAAAGATTCTTTTTGCTAGTGAAAATGTTCTTGTAAAAATTAGATGCTGGAGTAATAGAAAGTTATATAGTATCTGAGAAAAGAGGAAGCAAGGGGAATTTGATTTAATAGTGAATTATCCTGGGCCCTGGAGAATAGGATGGTAACTAAGCCTTAGTGTAAAAGAGAATCACTGTCATACTAATTCATTCACAGATATTTATTGAGGGTTTTCTATTGTGTAATGCATTCTGCAGGATCTGAGGAGATAAAGATTGGTGTGTAAAAAACAGACACTGTTGTGTAGTTATAGAAGTGATGAGGCCACCACTGATCGGATAATCATAAAAAATACATACCTTGAAGGAAAAGAGCATGTGGCTTATAACCCAGAAATCTGGCGTAAATTTGGACCTAGGTTGGTTCTTCAGTTGAACTGAGGAAATAAACATTCTGAGTGCAAATGCCTTTAAAAAAAAGTTTCAGTTGTGCATTTGAATTAGTGCCACAGTGAGACATTTTTTCAAGGCCTTTTTACTTTTCTCTCTTGTTTTGACTACTTTTTGCAAATGTTCCTTAACCTTATACTTCACTAATAGATTTATTGATTGCTCTGTTGTTGTTTCAAACCATTTTTCCTGATTGATTAGTGACGGCTCTAACAACCTAAATCTAAAAGTGATACCATATTATTTTGTCAAAGTTCAGATGTTTGTAACTTTGATCTAGCTATTCCAATTCTAAAATTAACCCTACAGAAGGATTTGTACAAGTGCACATATTTACATACATAAGGATGTTCACTGATACATAGTTTTAATAGGGAAAAACCAGAATCAATCTAAATAAATTATGGTGCAAAGAGACTGGAGAATATGTAATTGTCTTTTTAAAATGAGGTTGATCTATGTTTTGATATTGAAAAATCTTCATAATATGTAAGTTAAAAAGAAAGGTATTCAAAAATATAAAGGTATTCAAAAAATAATTTTTTAATTTTATATGTACCTAATTTGTCTTTATCTAGAAAATGGTTTGGAGAGATACATACCAGTCTGTCAACTGTGATTACTTCTGGGAAGTGATATTAGATATTTTTGTGGGCAGGTAGAGAATATTCCACTTTTTATTTTATACAGTTCTGCATTATTTAAACTTTTTACAAGAATATATTACTTTATTATATAGAAAAAATGAATGAATGAATTTAAATACTTGTCACAGAACTGAATTTTTATGGTTCCTTTCTTATGCTATTCAGTTGGTAATGACTAGCCTATATGTTTACCTTTTCCTTTATTCCACATTACAAATTGAATCCTAGGTTTGTGGGTGAGATAAAAATACCTTATTTTACAAATTATTGAAATTTAGAAGAAAAATGATAGCAAATAAGAAAAAATAAACAGGCCCTAAATTTATTCAGATTATTTGTTCAATTGCAATATTCCTTTTGTGGGCCAGTCAAAGGAGTCACCTTTGCATAATTTTAAAATATGTCTACCGGAATAATTTAATTGAAAAAAATGGCTTCGTATCACATTTCAGTGTGCTTTTTAACAAATTAGATTTCTGCCTTTCAGGTTTCTCAGGACCATGAAACAATGGCACAGGTTTTGTTCAGTAGGAATTTGAGATTGAATGTAGCTTTAACTTTCTGGAGAAAGAGAAGTATAAGTGAACTTGTAGCTTATTTGGTGAGGTAAGTGTGACCCTTTATGCTTTTTTTTCAGTAAAAGTAATTTCCAATGTGTTAATCTAGAAGTGCCTCTTCTTTACTGGCTAAAATGTTAAACTTCTGTATTTAGCTTCGATAGAGACAGTATGGTTTAAGTTACATTCATCATTAGTCTAAGAGTAACCAAAATACAGAAAACCGTTTTATCAGATTGAACAAAGCTGTTACCTTCTCTAAGATTCTTATCCATAAAACTAAGAGATACTGGTATGGGAAAGCTAACCTTTTAAAAATCCCCTTCAAGTGAAAATTTTAAGCATTACCTTCCTCACTGTGTTCAAGTCTCTTCTCAGATGTTACCTTAGTGAGACCTTCCTTGACCACCTTATTTAAAAATAGATATTTCTTCACTCCCTCTCTCTCTTTCCTGTTTTATTTTTCTCCATAGCACTTACCACCATCAATGTGCTGTATGTATTTTACTTGTTTGTTTATTGTCTGTCTCTGCCTTCTCCTACCCCCCCCCCCACACACACACTGGAATGCAAACCCTATCTTTCTTGACTGCTGTATCCCCACCACCTAGCTCATCATAGATAACTCGGATTATTTGTTGAATGAGTGAATTTCTCAAAAGCAGTGTGAAGGTTATCATATGAAAGTAAATAAGGAATCAGCTCTCTAAGCAATGCTGTCCTTTTTGTACCCACAGGATAGAAGACCTTGGAGTTGTGGTGGATTGCCTTCCTGTTCTTACCAATAGGTAAAAAGAATATTTTTAAGAAAAAAGTAGTTTAAAGAAGGAAAATTTAGGGCCTCTTCATATTTTTATAACTTAGTATTTCTTTATCTTAGTTTACAGGAAGAAAAACAATACATCTCACTTGGCTGCTGTGTAGACTTGTTGCCTCTAGTAAAGTCACTACTTAAAAGCAAATTTGAAGAGTAAGTGCTAATATGAATCTCAGTTCGTTTTTCTCTTTGAACATCCTTGATTTTGTGCCTTGTGAGTGCATAGTAATAGATTGAGCTCCATGAGACATACATGGTTTCTGTTTTCAAGTTGCTAATAGTCCAGTTAGGAAAAGAATATGAAATGACTAAATAACAATTTCAAATGCATCTATAAACAAGTTACATAAAATAAAATTTTGTGAAAGTAGGGAAATAAATTTTTAAAAGGGGAAATGTCGGTATGTGTATGTGTTTTTTTGGAGGGGAGGAATATCATCTTTTGTAAAGATGAAAACATTTTGTAACAAAATGTCATTTCAGATACATAATAGTTGGTTTAAACTGGCTTCAAGCAGTCATAAAAAGGTGGTGGTCAGAACTATCGTCCAAAACAGAAATTATAAATGATGGGTAGGTATACTTTTAAAGGTAAACTCATGCTACTAAAATTTTTTTCTGAAAAGCAGCTTGGTTAAACTAGATGATAATTTTATTCTAGAATCATCAGTATATAATATTTATTGTCTTCATTTTCAGAGAAATGTTAAATTTGGATACTGTTCACATGTGAGAATTATGCCTGGAAGTTGAATTCCAGAGCCCAGTAACCCCCTGTATCTCTTCTTCTAGTAGAACCTGACCGTTCGTTTTAGAAGGAAGAAGCACAGCAGTGGTTTAACCCTCATATCTATTATAATAAGTAAGGGAGAGAAAAAGAGATGGCCTTTAGTAGAATAAGTATTGAGGCACAGGAATGGAGGCGTCCTGCAGGGTCTTTTGGCTACCTAGACGTTAATCTGATAGTCCAATGTGAGTGATTACAATGCTAAAAACTATATTATAATCATCATACTTTAACTGTTTCCTTGGTGTGAAAATGTGTGGATATTCTACCAAATGAGCCAGATTATCATGAAGCTACAAAAAAAAAGTCTCTTAATAGTCTTCTTAAAGTTCATAATTTTCTTTCTAGGCTCTCAGAATTTGCCACTTCATACCCAAGAACAGGTTGTCCAAATGCACTACATGCCTAGTTTTCTTACCTGGTTTAACAACTAAGTAACCATTCATTTCCATAATTGGCATGTGCTATTTTAAAGAGTTGCTTGGCTTCAAATAGTATAATTTTCTCCTGATAAATACTTGAAAATTTGAACACTGTTTTCATTAATTGCATTTACTACCAAAGTCCATATCATACTATATTTGCATTCTAACTTTTCTTCTTTTTTTCTCCTAGAAATATTCAGATTTTAAAACAACAATTAAGTGGATTGTGGGAACAGGAAAACCATCTTACTTTGGTTCCAGGATATACTGGTAATATAGCTAAGGTAATCTATATTTAAGCTTAAAGTCTATATTAAAGCTTAATTAAAAATTAGAAATAATGTATTAGTATTATGCATTTAAAAATGAACTCTTTCAAATCTCTAGACAAAATAATTCAGTACTGTTCTAATAAAGTAAAGTCAGTTTCATATTTGCAAATGCTTAAGGGCTTCTGGATATGAATGTGACTTTGGTAGAGAACACAGGAATTCACCATTGAGTGCGTTTCAGATACAGCCACAGAAATAATGTGCTAGAGGGTAATTAATCTAATTGAACTAGTTCCAATTAGAGAAAAATATTTGAAAAAAAGTTAAGAATCCAGGTAAGGAAGGCACCTGAAAACACAGTGACACTCAGGAAGCAAGAGGTGAGGAATACAATCAAATGGTGTGAGGGTCTTAATTTTTACTTGGCTTTTGCTAATGTTATGCTTTTGGGGAAAGTAAACTGTTCAGATTACAGTATGAATTTGACATTGGTCTTTATTGATTTGCTTGTCTCTCAGAATAATTCTAGATTTTAATATTTAAACTCCAGAAAACATTGGTAGTTAAAATATAATTGCAGAAAAAAATCATTGTTAAGAAATATTTCCACCCTTTTACTGGGCACACTACTATCATAAATGGGCATTAGCCAGAAATATAAGAGCATTCTTTGGTTTAAAAAAATATAATATTCTAAATAAGAGGATTTATATCATGGACTTACTTGTAAAAGTCTTCTTGGATTCTTTCAAGAAAAGAAGCAAAATGATATATCAAGCAAGGTGTTACCACTGTATATAATTTTACTCTGTAGGCTTCTTTTTTTTTTTTTTTATAATTTTATTTATTTATTTATTTTCCCCCAAAGCCCCAGTAGATGGTTGTATGTCACAGCTGCACATCCTTCTAGTTGCTGTATGTGGGACGTGGCCTCAGCATGGCCAGAGAAGCCGTGTGTTGGTGCGCACTTGGGATCCGAACCCGGGCCGCCAGCAGCGGAGCGCGCGCACTTACCCGCTACACCCCGGGGCCGGCCCACTCTGTAGACTTCTTAATGATGAAAATCTTAAAAAGAAATCAATTCCCCAGAAGTTTTGTTGTTGTTGTTCTTTTGATAATAGGAGAAAAAAATGCAGTAAAAGTTGATAGAAAACGGAATACTTTTAGAGCATACATGATATATTACCTTGTTCTGGAGGGGCCTGTATTCTTGGTAGTAGAACTGAAAAACTATTGTTTCTTTAGAAATTTGCTTTCGATTGTAAGTTTTTATAAAGGGAGAAGCTTTATTGTAAACATGACCTTAAGATACTATATTTAGGGCCGGCCCCGTGGCTTGGTGGTTAAGTGCACGCGCTCCGATGCTGGTGGCCTGGGTTCGGATCCTGGGCGCGCACCAAGGCACCACTTCTCCGTCCATCCTGGGGCCGAGTCCCACATACAGCAACTAGAAGGATGTGCAGCTATGACATACAACTATCTACTGGGGCTTTGGGGGGAAAAAATAAATAAATAAAATCTTTAAAAAAAAAAAAAAGATACTATATTTATTATTTAAGACAATATTGAGTGGTTAAAAGTTCTATAAAGTTCCTTAAGCTGTGATAAACCCTCTTTTACAATATTAAACCCTCAGTTGTAATTTTCTTGAGGGTAGAAATCAGAGAGAGAGGCTATAATCAGGCTGGCCTAGAGTTTATATAGTACTGGAGGAATTTCCGTGAATGATTTAATGATCTTGCTTAGCTATAAAAGCAGAGTTGCTTCATCACAGGAACCAAATCATTCACTCAGCACTTAGCAAACATTTATTGAGCACGTGCTGTGTGCCAGGCCCTGTGCTAAACAAATGCAGATAAAAAGTTGAGTAAGACACATCTTTTACCCTCAAAAGATCACAAAGGGAAACTAAGGCAAATCAAGTGACAAAAAGGGAGAAGAAAATGGGTTGTGTATATGTGTATTTACTGTAGTGGCTAATGAAGTGTTTTTGTTTTATTCTCTAAGGATGTAGATGCTTATTTATTACAGTTGCATTGAGACACTTCATCTACTAAAGAGCATTTGATTATTCAAAACATCCCTGGACTATATGATTTCCCCAAAAATCTTATCTGAGAACTGTGAACTGTGGAAGAAATCAAAATCATTTTTTTTAAAGCCACATAATGAAACCACTAACAGAACCCTAGCAATCTACTTCACATTGAAGTGGAAAATATCCAAAAGGAGCAGCTTCAACTTCAGTGAGGTGAAAGTGCACTACAAAGATTGTTTGCCTTTGCTGCATTTGGGATTTATATGGTTATTTGGTAACATTGTTTGAAAACTACTGGGTCTTAATGCAATCCTGCATAAGAATATAATTTATACTATGTGAAAAAATAAGACAGGACTTATTACTAGGATCTACAAAGACCAATCATCATTACTTTTTTTAAGACTGTATTTTATAAGAAAACACTTAAATGTGTGCAGCTATTTTCTTATTTTGAAAAGACTTTGAAAGTTTAAAACATCATGGCAAATAATCAATACTAAAAGTTTTTTGTCCACACTGAGATACTGTGTATACAAAATGCCTTAATTATTAATAAGCCAATGTGTATGATACCAATATCTGTTTAAAAAAAATTAAAACCAACCATGCTTCTGGCATGATAAAATCATGGAATTAAATCAGGGGTTTCCATTCATGTAGAATGTTGTTGTTAAAACTTATTCCACATCATTTTTAAAACTTGGGATTATTTTTAGTATCTCTGATTTTTTTTTGCCAGAATCATCATGTCATGTGTGTATGTGTTATTCCTATATAAAAGAAAAAGGTGAATATGTATTTGTATGAATGCTTAACTGGAAATGTTCATGGAGTTGGCTAATTTATATTCACTTTTTATTGTGTACAGATTTCTAATATTTTCAGTTCTGTATCATTTAAGCTTCCTTCATTTGAGTAAATTCACTAAATATTTCTATTTTTTGCTTTTTTTAATTCTTATTTTATATGAATTCTAATTCTTTTTCACTACATATGTTTTAAAGAATTACATACAATGCTTTAGAAATGTTTACAGTTAGTGCTGACCTTATATTTTAAATTCCAATACTTTACATTACTACCTCCTCCAATGGTTGGTATGAAATGCCAGCACACTGAGGTCTTTTTTTTAAATACCATTTTTAGTGTGAGTGAAGTCACTTCTGGAATGTCTTAAGAGCTGTATATCTTACCTATCTTGAAAGTGATTAGGGTTTAAATACTACTATTGGTTCGTACATCATCTAATTTTAATGAGCCTGAGAGGCATCTAAGCAAAGATTTTTAGTAATCAAATTTCTATGCAGTAATCCTTCAAGTGCTTGAATGTAAATCTTGAGCATTGACCCAATCAGTGACTACTGATGAGAATCCCAAACAAGCATCTTTCTTGCTTTAAAAATGTTGTCTTTCACTGAGTTCTCTTTTTGTGCAGATATATTTCGTATAGCTATGGATTCCTCACAGTGAACATCAATTGTAGTAATTGGCTGTTTTCTTAAGTCTTTAGATTAGAATAATTTCAGATTACTGCACTTCTGTGATTTGAGAGTTGAGTTATTTAAGAAGTTGTTTTTCAGGAGGTGGGAATTTGAATGGTAAACCTGTGTCATCTCTGTGAAACCTTACGATGATGAAATATAATCTTTCTTTGTCCTATTCCTTTAGTTATCACTGTCTTATCTAACAGTTTGAACCAGTTAACTTGGAGCATGGTGCTAATGAGGCTTAAGGACAGGAGTTCAGTCCTTCTATAGGTTCATTAACTTTACACACACACACAGAAGTATTCATGGCTACAGATTGTACCTTGTCTTAGGTATCTATCTCACAAATTCAGCTCTTGGTCACAAGGAAGATGGCGAGTATAGTTTAACATAAACCTTTTACCTCAAATGGAAAGATAACTCAAATAATTGGTTTATGTGATACTGTAGACTTTTAATATTTAAGATAACATTAAAATAATATAATATCTGAAATACTGTCACTAGAATTTTCTCTGGGTGAGATCACTGACTAAACAGTATCTTCTAAAAATTAAATTTCAATAAATCAAACTTCAGTAAAAGTTAAGTACAAATACAAATGAAACATACTAAGAAAAGATACTATCCTATAAAACTGAGTTCTTGTGCTTAAGTTTGGTTTTGTTAAAGGAAAGTAGATAACACTCCATTTTATATACTTGGAGCTATATAAGGCAGCAGAGTCTTTAGCTCACAAAGATTATTCAGGAGCACACACTCCTAATTTCTGTTCTTGGCCTTTGCAGTTTACCTTAGTACCTACCTCTCTCAGTTACTGAGTTATGAGTATTAGGTGATTTTAAGATTCTTGGATAAAAGATGTTAGATAAGTAAATATTGTTGAATACTTCTGTTACTATTAAGCTCTTCTCATGCTATTTGATCAGAATAGTGTTGATCTCCAGAAAGAGCCAAAGAAAGTGTTTACAAAGTATTTTGGCTGTTGTATTGACCTAGATTAGGACAATTGCTGTCTGTCATTGCTCATTTGTTGCTATGCTGCTGAGCAGTATACAGAACTAAAAGACCACCCAAGGTCTCCATGCCTTTATACCTCTTCTACCTTCTTAGGTTTTCTGTACTGGACTTTGCAAACTTTGCAAGTCTAGGAATAGGTAGTTTATTGAGGTGATAGAGGGTTAAAATCAAGTAATTTGTTTTTACTAGGAATAAAGTGAATGGATTTTGTAATGAGTGATCATGAACAGAATGAAGGTTAAAAGTCAGGAAGCAAGCATTATCAGATGGTTTTTTAAATTAATCTTCTGGCAGTAATTTCAAAGGTAATTGACACAGAGTATTTACATGAATCCTGAGATGTGAGAATATAGATATAAATATCTATATCCATTTTGGTGAATCAGTATCAGCACTGAACTCTAAGGGCTACTAAGGAATTAAATCCTAATGCCCCTAAACATAGATGTACATGTCATGTCCTAACCTTAAAAATGGTGATGTGGGTTCAAAGCTGTATTTCTGGCCTTCAAAATACTAATTTTCTCAAACTTAGAACGTTTCTATATTTGGTGCCTTGTTGATATAATTAACATTAATGGTGACAAATTTGAGTAATGCGTATTAGCTGTTAAATACTGATAATAGACATCATATTTAAATGTTTATTTAGTTACTTAAATTATTCAAGGAGTTTGAAAAAGCAAAATTTAAGTTTATATTTCACCAGTCATTCCCAGTTATCTTTCTTCCTATTTAAAAACAAGAAGGTAATGTCAGTTGCCTTTGTTTATTTAAAGAAAAAAAATAGAATCACAAGCAGCTGACTCAACCTGAGTGATCTATTTAGATGCACTACTTCTAATCTTTGAATACAGACTTTTATTTTCTGGATTACTTCAGATGGAAATAGTATTGTTGGACATTTATTGGTAGGTACTTACTCCTATGTTATTCTTTCTCCCTTAATTTCTAGTTCTTCTAGCTATGAAAATTGTCATAAAACTTTGTGACACACTATTCCCCCTCCTTTTTTATTCTGTAACAGGAATATAGAATAAAAAGTTCTTCCCTAAACACTGTATACTTCTAATTTGTAATATAGCTTGATTGAGTCAATAATAGCACCAAGTATAACAATAAAAATAAATACTGTATATCATATACCCAGTATACTAAGTACATTTTGCAATTCTGTACTTAAAATATTTAAAATATTGTAGTCGTAATTTTCTCTGGATGAGATTGTTGACTTAACAGTATCTGCTAAAATCAAACTTCAGTAAAAATTAAGTACAACTACAAATAAAACATAGTATATATCACAATATTTTCCCTTATAGACTATAATTAATCATACAACACAAAATGACATAGTTACTGTGTACCAGTAGTTCTTTGAAAGGGCAGCCCCACAGCTGCCAGTACTTTTCATAGCAAAGCTTGTTACATAGTATGGCTTTGCTATACAAAAATACTGTTCTCTGAACTACAAAGTTTTCAGATGGGAGATGCCAGGAGTCTAGATAAAGATTCAGCCCCCAAATATACATGAACTAATGTTGATTCTTATGCTTTACAGTATTCTGTATTTTTATTCAGATTTAAACCAGGATTCTTTTTTTTTTTTAACATCCTGGACCCAACCAAGACTGTTGTAACACTGTGGATTTACATCAAAGCTAAGACGAGTTTATCCAAAGTATTTTCTAGGGTAAAAAAGAGTTGTTGTGGGAGTCCTGGAATACACTGAGTTGTCAGAATTACTTGCTTCCAGAATTACTGTACTGCATTTATCAACCAAACCTGCAACATGGAGCTTGAATTGGAATTAGACACCACGTTCTAGGGATCAGGAGCAGAGTTAGCACCCAGTAATTTTTCTGCTTTCATTTAAAAAAAAAAAAAAGAAAGAAAAAGAACAAACTTCATTAGCCCTCTGTATAAAGTTAGTTGAACAGATGAATGAGCACCTACCTCACCTCTTACTTACCCTGCAGTACACTCACCAGTTCCTCTCTGTAACAGCTTAGCCTCAACAACAACAGGAGAAATGAAGGTTGATGCCTTTCTTTTAGACAGGTATTAAAGCTAACAAAAGCCAGCCCTGGCGGTCTAGTGGTTAAGATTCCGTGGGACCATGAACCCGGTTCGTTTCCCTGTCGGGACCACATTACGCATCTGTTAGTTGTCATACCATGGTGGCTGCAAGTTGCTGTGATGCTGAGGACTATGCCACTGGTATTTCAAATACCAGCAGGGTCACCCACGGTGGACAGGTTTCAGCGAAGCTTCCAGGCTAAGACCGACTAGGAAGAAGGACCTGGCCACCCACTTCTGAAAAAATTGGCCATGAAAACCCTATGAATAGCAGTGGAGCATTGTCTGATACAGTGCTGGAAGGTGAGAGGATGGTGCAAAAAGACCAGAGCAGGGTTCCACTCTGCTGTACACAGGGTCGCTAGGAGTCGAAATCAATTTGATGGCACTAATAAAAAACTTAGAAAAGGTTTAGAAGAGGCTTCTCTTTTCCAGTTGCTGTCCAAATTCCTTTTCCCCTACTTAAATAGATAATAAGTCAGTAAAGGGGAGAAGCCAACTCTCTTTTCAGTCTCTTCTTTTGAAGGCTCCTCTACCTATCCCTTAGACATTGGTGTTCTGCAGAGTTCTGTCTTAAGGTCTTTCTCACTCTACCATTTCCCTGAAAAACGTTGTTTATTCCCATGGCTTCCTTTACCATCTGCATTAATTGTTCTCACTTTAGGGGTGGAAGGGAGGCTGTTTTTTGGTTGATCAAATGGACATGGATTTTTTAAAGGTTGAGAAAACATCAAACTCTATGTTTATCATTCTCAAATACGTATCTTGCCCTAAAAGTAACTCTTACCTCACGAATTATATGTCCGGTTGCCTACTGGAAACATCCATTGGGATATCTTGTAGATCTCCTAAATTCAATATATCCAGATTTGACCTCATTCTCCACCTCCACTCCCCTCCATCAACCCTACCCCCTTCCCCCACCCCGCCGCATGAATAAAAAGTCTGTTCTGGCTAAGTCCTGGGTTTCCATTCTTGTTGAATAGCCCTAATATCAGCAATTACCAAGCCACAAGCCTGTGAACCATCTCTCCAAATCACTCATCAAATCTCATTAGTGCAGCCTCCTGAATTTCTCTCATCTTTCTATCCCTCTCCACCTCTCCTGCCATTATCTTAGTCTACTATTCCAGCAGCCTCCTGACTGGTCTCTCTGGCACTAGTCCTACATCCCTACCACCTATTCTCTATACATGCTGCCCCGCAATAGTCTGTAAAGCACAAATCTTACCATGTCACTCCTTAAAGCCTCTTAGGAGAGAGTCTAAACAGTATGGTTTACAATCTATCAACAGCACTTCCTCCCCTCCATTCCCAATGGCTCCAACTAGAATGAACTTGTTTCAGTTTCTGGAAAACATGACACTTTCTCTGCAAGTGCCTCATTTGCCTGAACACTTCCCCAAGTTCACCCAGTTCTCACTTTCTTAGGCTTAAGGTTTCAGTGAGAAGAGTTCCTCTGGGAAGCCGCCTCTGAAGCCTCTTTGGCTATTAGAGGTCTTAACACTACTTATCAGTGTTTTGTAATTGCTTATTATCTGTCTTAGCTAAATTGATAGCTTTATGTGGCCAGAGACCATGTTCTCTGTCACATCCCCAGTACCTAGCACAAGTCTGGCAAGTAGTAGGCATTTAATTCTTGTGAATAAATACAAGGGTGTGGCATCTTTGGGCATACATGGTATGAGGAAGTAATTTAGTAATCTAAAGCTATTTGTGATAGCATAGCAGCTAAAGATGGGTAGTTCTAGAATAAGAATAGCCCGTTTTCTTCTCTCACTTTTTTTTGTTTTAGGAAATTGGTTTATGAATGTTCATGCTACCACAAAATAAAACCTTAGCTAAAATGTATTTGATTCCTAAAGGTTGTTACATTTGTTTTTCTATTGTATGGTTTCTGCATTTCACACAAGATGCATGCAAGTGAGGACCATCTATAAAGTGCAAAATTAAGGTATTTTCATGTAATGTGTAAAACATACATTTTCTTGGAATTGAGGGCGTCCCTTTGCTGCTTGGTGTTTCTGTTCAGCTTTTATCTTAAAATGTTTGAGAATCATGTGAGATAGTGT